GCTTGCCAGGCTATTTCCGCTCCCCACAGCTCGCGCGATCGCGCTATACAGTTCGCACTAGTATTCGGCTATTTTTAAGGATTAGTATCTCGTTAACTATTGGGAAAACTATAAAATGGTAGAGGATTTTTTGACTCAGTTTAGTCCGCTCTATCTGCCCATGAAATATTTGGCGATTATTTATTACAGACGCCCTGTATACATATATATATATATATATGTGTGTGTGTGTGTGTGTGTGTGTGTGTGTATATATATATATATATATGAAAGATTTTATTAGAATAAATGTCAATCAAATATTTGTAAAAGTAACATTATTTTTTATTATATTAATCAAACATTTGATTGGCATTATTTTAGCATACATTTAATAGCTATTACCAAACACTAAGGGATCAACTATTGCTTTAAAAAAATGTACACTGATTCAATGATTGCTAATTATGGCAATACAATATTAGTATAAGATATTGCTATGTACTATTATATGTACTATTATATGTATTGCTAGTATATTGCTAACGTATTGCTAGTACTATTACTGCTAGCATTACTTGTTTTATTATTGTACTGTCGCAATATATTTCTAAAGAAATGTACACTGATTGTCAGTGTGCCATAGTAGTTAACTCCTTGCCAGATTCTTTTTTTAGTATATCCCATCAAACGAGAATGGATTAAAATTTTTTTCTATCCGAATGCGTATTTTAAATAGCGAATGTGGATTTTTTTGGATTTAATTGGATTCAATTAGATTCAGTTGGATGCAATTGGATTAAAAAACTATATTTCATATTCAAAATTTTGAATTGAATAGTATTCACAATGTGTGTGTTGTGCACAGAAAAAGCTAATTTTTAGATTGAAAAGCATTCGTTTTAACATTCATGAATCAAATTTCTGAAAATCTGAATCCAATTCATTTCAATCAATTCTCGTTTGCTGGGACAATAAGGAATAATGAAGATGCTCATAATACCGTGCATACTTGTCCGAAAAACTCCCATGTCTAATAAATTTATAATGATCTCGGGTCTTTACGAAATTAGAATGACTATTGTTTACTTTACAAATATTAATGTAGAACAAAATATCTTATCTCAATATAGCGTGGGGACTTTATAAAGCTAGAGAAAAATATATAAGAAATAAGAAAATAACGTACTTACTTATTTAATATGATAAATATTCGAAGTACATAAATTTAAATCAAACTTAGCAGCATATTGGAATGTCGCAAAAATAGGCTACTACAGTTGGCACTATTAGTACCAACCACTAGTACCAACACAGAAATATGAAGCTCATATTATCTGCAGTACCTCATAATATCCTACGCTATATACAATAGCAGATATTCCCGAGATATACAACAGACATCCTCTAGACTTAATGGATGTCCTTAGGACATCTTCAAAATGTCTTATTTAATATAAAAAACTCGAATTTCAAATATTTATAATACATTAAAAATATATTAAACATACTTAATATTGAATTTTGTGATCTAGTCCCGATTATGTCTTTCAGATAGGATGTCTTATAGACGTCTTATTGCTATGTATGCTAAAAGCAAGTTGTCCTTCTTATAAATATTCATAACCAGGATATAATCAGAACTTTTGAAGTAATACATCTAAAAGACGTCCATATGTATTGTGTGAGTAGGTGTGTTCATGATTCTTCGAAGGAGCAGTTTTCGTACAATTGCAGAAGTCAAGTATGCTGAATGGAAATACAGATTTTGACTGTTGATGGAAGTATCATAAAATTATTCTCGAATTAATAAAAGAAACTATATTTTTAATATAATTTTGTTGTGTATCCTCTGAAATATGCTAATCAATAATATTTATTTTCACAATAAAACTTCAATAAAATTATAATGAAATTTTCTCTACTACTAGTGACACTACTTGTCGAATTTACTTATTGCATTAATGACTACTCAGTAAACATAATATTACATGTAACACAAAAAATGTCAGTTTAACAAGATAACTGTAATATAACACAGTATGTTAACATTCTACAAAATACTAATTATTATTTCGATATATTGTATGGCTTTCATTTGATTGATCCATAGACAACAATTAATTTATACGATATATACACAACTAGATATTGATTTATTTACAATGTGAATTTTCGAATGTAACACTTACTTTTTCCTAGCTTCGCTGCATCTTCAATGTGTATCTATAGCCTCTTCGATTATTCTTTAATCGATTTAATAAAGAAAATTCTTTTTTTATATTCTCTGCATTACTTAGCATTCATCAATGTCATTTATAAAAATAAAAAAAATTATTGTATAACAACTTTATAAATAAGATTATAAATAATAATACATATAATAATACATATAAATAATATTATATTAAACGCGAAATAAAACTACATGTATTATAAAAAAATGTAATTAAATTAAAACATGTATTTATTTATTATTTGCAATAATTTATTAGAATTAAATTAATTATGATATAATTTAATACAAAGTTTATAGAAATTTAAAAACGCAAACGAAATGCGAAAAATAATAAAATTATTCCTAATTTATTTTTTATATTCTTCTTTTACTAGAAATAATGGCTACTTTTGACAGTCAGTTCTCATATTTAAAATCGTCTTAAGTATAGTTTTAAGCTAAAACCGCATTAACATCTCGAAGTATTACTTTAGACGATTTTAAAATAAGAACCGACTGCAAGTATCAAACAATTATCTTACCTTATAATTATTTAATTAATCTACGATATGTTAATTATATAATCACTATATTATATACATATACAAAATATAAAATATGTGTATACACAATAGTATGTAACATCCAGTATTATATCCTACCGCTTAAAAGTTACAGTAATATATTCTCTATTTATGGAAATTTCACATAATATAAAAAATAAAATATTGAATACTGTTTGCATGTATTATATTTTTTAAATATTTATTATTACATGCTTTTAGTAAAATTAGAAAAAAGAACTTTTTTTTTGATGTTTTTATTTCTTCAAGTTCAATTTCCCTCCGTTTTTATGATAATAGAAGTCAAATTCTTGGCTTTCTGTTGGCATAATTCAAAAATCTTAATCAAAGACATTGTTTAATTTGACGTTAAATATATATATATACATATGTATGTGTGTGTGTGTGTGTGTGTGTGTGTGTGTGTGTGT